AGGAAAAAAAAAAAAAAAACAGTCACAAAATAAAAACAAAGCAAACCCAAAACAGTGCATGCCTCTGAGGCTGAATGGTGCTAGACAGCATGTTTGTCAATGAATTGAATAGTTTTTTTGGCCTGTAGTGTTGAATGAGTTTTTAGGTTCTTTTGTCTAAAAGTGTTTTGTTAGGCACTAATCACATTTTATTGACTATCTTTTTAAACCTGTATGCGTTTGTGTGTGTAAGCCTCTCTGCATATAATTCTTCTCCGTCTCCTTCACTTGCCAGCTCTCTTGAACTGCAAGGTCATTGGTGCTTTAAAGTCCCCCACAGTAAAATTTTACACTTCCGAGGCGCCCCCACTAAGCCTTCCGTCATCTATTTTTAATACCAGAAAAACATCCCTTGCGACAACATGGGGTCTGCGTGCCTGTCATTTTGAACCTCATTAAGGGGTCGCTTAAACAAGTAACAGTAGGAGCAGAAGGTGGGCGCGCAATTGCTCCTGTGCTCGTTTTTTTTTTTTTTTTTTTTTTTTTTTTTTTTTTTGCTCTATTTCTCTGATTCTGTCCATCTTTCTAACTTGCCGCTTTGATACTGATAGATTCAGTAGAGTTAAAGACATAGCTAAAGAATTTTGAAGTGAGGTTCTATTAAAAGGTCAAAAGTACTCATAATGTCTTAATTTAGCAGGAATCTGTATTATTAGCTCATTCCGGAGACTAATGGTTTGTCAAAGAACGGCCAAGACCAAAGTGTACTGCTATAATCTTAAAACAACTTTTATGAACCTTTAAAACCCTGTAACTTTTTTTTTTTTTTTTTTTTTTTTTTTACTGGGCAGTCGTCCACACAGAAGACAACGACTGTTTACAACTAAAAATGGAAGGGCATTGCAACTGATCGTCCTGCGTGAAAAGTATTTCTGGTCAGAGTAATTAAGTTAATTCACACTATTTTTATAGGTTTTTAACAATGCATTACTATTCTATAAGGGAGTTACTCTGACTGTAAATGGTTGGAAAGCTCCATTTTGTTTTACAAAGAAAGGGGATTGTCTATTATCTTATCATGAGCTGCTATTGTCCAATGCAAATATAAGGACAGTTTATGCGTTCATGAAACACTGTACAGATAAACTGCCATGGACTTGATGTTACTTTAAGAACATTAATTTACTTATGGGTCCTCTAAGGGTTTTTACCCGAAACAGGTTTCAAGGTTACACTAATACTAGTGCGTCTTTCCTCACCGTTTGTCTCTGTCCCCATTGCTGCATGTTCTGGCTCTGGCACAGATAAACCTGTTATTCAACTTTGAACTGAACCACAGGAAAGAGCTGCTTTCACCTAGAGAGCTGTGGCTGAGCCAGTAGAAGCTTGCAACCAATTTAAACATAAAAATAATTTCAAACTTCACAGTTAGTTTCATGTCTAATCTGTGCAATTCAAAACACAGAGCCTCAAAATGACCAAAAAGTTGGAATAGCAGTACAAAGACAGATGTTCCCAGTCTTAAACTCTGCTTGTTAAAACCGCACCAATAAATTATGATGGTGATATTAGGTAATCTAGTTGCAGGAAAATGTAGATACATAGTTGTGTAGTTAAATTGTCTCTGTTAACGCGGCAGAACCAGACATTTTACAGTGTTGCAATGATGTAGCTCTGCGTTGACTCACTGCTTGTGAAAAAATAAAAACAGTTAAGAACTGATTGTAGTATCAGCTCTCTTAAATACTTGCTACTGTGAAAAAAGAAACAACAAAAAACCATTTGTGACGAGCCAGACTCTGAAGCCATTTCTTCAGAGCCTGGGTTTGATTGATTGGTATTTTTAACCAAATGAAGACACCAATGGAGTTCTCTACTGTGGGAAAGATATTAACCGCTTATGATCTTTTAACAGAAAAGTCCTGAGCTATCCCTTTTGGTAAAGCTTACCTCTTTCAAGGAAGCAAAAACCTTGCTTTAAATAAGACACTGCCGATATGAAAAACTCCCCCTTGTGTTCCTGTGGAAGTAAGCGTTGCTGCTGATCAGTAAATTACTTTGAATCCAAGTGGTAACATAAACAAACTGAACAGAGCTGCCTTAAGTTTAATGGATATGTTTTTGTTCTGTTTACACTCCTCTAATTGGAGATATGCATTTGTCGTTGTAATGCTTCACCAACTGCTGCAATAATCTGAACATGAAAAGCATTTAATAAGTATTAAACTGAACTATGATCATGTTAAAGAATAAAAAAGCATGGTACTGTAAGGTGAAGGGTCTTATTAAACATCTTTTATTGTTCTCATTTGACAGGATCTAAAATAGTTTAAACTATCTGCATAGTTCAAAGAGAATGTTTGATGAGTCGAATAACTTGATAGTTTAGCAAAAGAAAAAAAGAAAAAGAAAACACCACCCAGTTTAAGCCGTGAACCGTTTTGAACAATCAATAGCTAGGGAATAAATAGCTTTGGATGCAAATGTTTATAGGAGTGTTAATATTGACTAATGCTCAACTGGAACAGAGAAAACAATTGCGGCCCAGCTCAGTAAACATTGCACAAATGGCTGTGACTGCTGCCGTGAAATTGTGTTATCAAGTTTCAAAAGGTATTGATTCTCGATTTTAACAGCGGTTAACGAAGTGTTTGGAGAGAAAGTTTCAATTTAGTTTTGGCTTTGTGAGTTTGAGTGAACAGAACCCTTTTTTTTTTTTTTTTAAAAATGTCTTATTGGCCAAGTTTATTGGGTTTGTCAGAAAGAAAGAGTTGCTCACTGATTTGAAAAGGATTTGCTCGTCCGGAACGTTCAACTGCTCATCATAGTATGGAGAAAGAGGACACCACGTTTAAAAAACCAGGGATTGTAAGTGACTTTGCTCCATGTCAGATATTTCACATATTTCTGAATTCTGTCTTAGTTAAAAACTGAACAACTACATCTATCTCAGGTTTAAGCTAAGCTTTAGAAGGCTTATTGAGAGGTCTCAGGGAAACGTTCCATTTCTGTCTGTCGTATATACAATAATTTCTAACACCTAGAATCTACAATGCTCCACTGTGTATACGGCTACTGTCTAAAAATGTAAAACTCTTCTGCTATTGGCTGCTGTTTTTGAATGTGCTTTTGCATTGTTGCAATGGTGTGCCGTCTGTGTGTATGCACAATAAACTGCATGAACTTAGTTTTCATAGGTAAACATCAGTGCTGCAATGACATAAATACGATGTAGCAAGATGATAAATGTCATGGGAAAATAAGAATCACTAAGTGTCAAAAAAATGGGATTTGGCATCTTGGTTGAAGGTATAAGAGGGGGCACTTTCTCTCCCACTTTTAACATCAACTTTTTTTTAACTCACAGAAGGAGAAAGACCACTTAATTTTTCTTCTGAAAAAAATAGTTTTTTTTTTTTTTTTTTTTTTCTTGAGAAGCCTGCTTTTTATGCCCAATCAAGCAAATGCAATCCACCCAAATCCCACCCACTACCCTGCAGCCTAGGGTAGATTCAGGCCACGCTAGGTGTAAATGACCTCCAGCACAGAGGGAGGCGCTATAAAGTAAAGAGTCCCACTAGGGTGACCAGCAGCAAAGCAAGTAGAGAACTTGTCTTCTGCAGACGTTGCGCAGCGTTCGTTTCACTCCGCGAAGGGGCAGCCGTTTCATGGCTAGTTTCATCTAAAGGATAGAAAAAAAAAATACAGCATGAGTTGATAGGTTTCTCTGTTATGATGATGAGACATATATAAAATATGAAATAATATAATAAGACTTTACATACAGGCACATATCAGTAATACAATATTACCAAAATGGTTAATATATTCCACTGATTCAATAAAAAAAAAAAAATACATAAATAAACCTTGATATATTTCAAGCATTAGTTCATATTGGTTGTGCTGATTATGACCTGCAATAAATTAAATCAGTTTTAAGTAAAATTAGTGGAAAAACAGAAAAAACTAAAAAGGTAAATTTTAAAACAGAAAGGTGGGCCTACTCTGCTCAAGAGTATGCCCATGTACTGTACACTATTATGAACAGAATAATATCTGCAGCAAAGTGGTGTTGAAAGGAGGTGATGAGGCTATGGCAGTGAGGTCAATAGGTTTCCCCTCAAAACCTTTTACTTTTGCTTATGCAGATTCATGTGCTTCAATAGGTGGAAGCCCCGGTTGCTTTGGTTTGCGAGCAGAGCCAGGTTTGGACATTAGCTCTTCTGAATTGTTGCATCTGTTGTTTATAATGTTTCTCCTGACAATACCCTCCTGACTGTCTAAAGGGCTTAAGTCAGGTGAGTTTCCTGGCTAATCATGGACAACAATACTGTAGCAATTAAACTGAGTAGTGTGGGCAAATACCACTAAAATTGTAACCAGCACAGTTTTAAAGTATGTCAAGGCAGTGCTTTAAAATTGCAATGTTTATGTTGTGCATCTTTTTCTACCACATTTTTTCCATCCTCACAACTTTCCATTATAATATTCCTGGATACAGATTGTCTTTTTAGTAAAGACCTTTTTGTGTGGAGGATATAACCGACTGGCTACTCCACAGCTGTCAAGTCAGCACCATGCTCTACAATCGTGTAGGCCTGAATTTTAGATTTTCCTTGTGTATAAACCATAATCCTCAAAATCAACATAAATATGTGAAATGCAACACTCTGTGTACAATCTATATAATGTGTGACATATAGATGTCTATGTTTTGTAATTGTGCAATTACAAAACATAATTATTTCATGAGATTCTAATATGAAACAAACCTGTACTCAAGAAGCACTGGTTTGTTTCACTAACAATAGTATTTGCAACAATTTTCAGATTCATGTCATGAAGTCTGAGTTGCCATTTGAACTTCAGTTGCTGTATAATGTTTCATCTCCCAGGTGAGCGGCCGCCTGTGTCTGTCTGGCAGTAGCATCAGTATCTGTGTGCAGCCATGTGCCCGCTTCACCGTGGGAAAGTAGCTGAACCATGCACAGCACAAGGACAGACAGACCAGACGTTTACATAACCACACAACTGTGTATGTAAGATGAGTTGTCAAGACTGGACGGACAGAGCAACAACGACAACTGAGGGGTTGAATGTTTAAATTCAATGGCTTTGGAAATGATGAAAGAGAATTTAGCCAAAACTTAAGCTAGATTCTGTTGATTAGAGGCAGCCTTTAAAGGATGCAAACAGCACAGCAAAATTAACAAGCAAGCACAAATCAAAGAGGCAAGCATCAAACCTGCATAAGCATTTAGAACTTGTAGCATCCTATATTGTGTATTTTGCTAGCTACAATTATTCCACACTGTACAAAGTTTGACTTTAAGCATTTGAAAATTCAATCTGTCACACACTAAATCACATTAAAAAGACCAATCAAATTTAATAGGAAATCATAAATTACGCATCTTTTAGACCTTCTAATATCACCTAAAAGTTTAAATGTGTGGTCCTATGTAAGGACCACTTAAATTATTGGGGGGAAAAAAGTTTTTAAAAAGTTACAATACCTTAAGCTAAGTTAGTGAAAATGTTGCCAAGTTTTTTTTATACTGAGTTTAGACATTCCTCTACTTTTCTTCCAAGTCTATTCTTTTGTATCATACTTTTATAGTGAGCTCTCTTTATGTTGGCACAGACCTGAGTGTAAACTGGTGCTGAGAATGAAACAGCAGCGTGTGGCTGATGGGGTGTGTTTCTCCCTGGTGACTGACTTGGTCTCATGTAAAACACATAAAATGTTGTGCATTCTGAGGACAACAAATAATCAATGCTGAGCTGCAGAGCCAAACAGCAAGTCAATGAAGGCTTAAGCAGACTGTTAGAATGTATACCTACACTCTGCACATAGAGATAAGGTAATGATTTTTTTTTCTTGTGGTTTTTACAGCTGACATATTAATTACAATGCCGAATTGATATTTCATTAAACATCAGCAGTTTTTATGTTCACAAGGAGAAAATATTTTTCATACACAAATACATCTAAAATTATTGAATATCAACAACTTCAACAGTTCTTTGTTACCCATTTCAGAAAGTAAAACTAATTATACAGATTAGAGCCTTACTTTCTTGACTTAGAGCCTCACTTTCAATTTTAATGATTATGGCTTATTGGTGATGAAAACCTCAAATTCAGTGTTTCAGATGAATATGATCATACTTGAGTAAAATTAATACAAAATCTTGTATTAAATTTAAACTACAACCTTTTGTGACTTGATCATCTTTTGGAGGGTGTCAGTGATGGTGTTCCGTACATATTTTAAGGCGGTACTCTTCCTGAGATTGTGCAGTCTACTGACCCAGACCCAGAGACCACTTAGGACCTTAGGAAACTTTTTCAGGTGTTTTGAATTAATTTGCTGATTCGGTTGTGAAACAGTGAATTTCCAGTAATTGCCTTTTTTTTATGATATTCATGTTTTTGGAGACTGAATTTTGGGTTTCCACTATCTGTAAACAATAATCATGAACATTTCAAGAAATTATAGCTTTCAATTTTCTATGATTTTAGCATGTATGATCTCAAATTCTGAATTTCATAATAATTTGTTTTTCAAATAAATAACAAAATATAAATAGTTTTGGATCAATTTATCCATTAAGTGTGTTTATTTCTAAGTGTAATTTAATTGTGGTCTATGTTAAAAAAAGAAGTCTTTAGACACTTGTAGTACAGAAACTTGTCTACTTTTTACACAAAAAAGTATTTCTAAATTGGAATCTTGGAGAAATGTTTAAATGATTATGTGGAAAACAAGCTTGATAAACATGCAGTGTAGAGCAACAAAACAGGGTGACATACAGGAGACACATGCAAGAGGTCACAGTGAATAAGACCAAAAGCCATACTAACCTCTTGGTAACGTACTTTCTACTCTGTCATCTATATCAAAAACACGATCTGTTTTCAGACAGCTGTCTACAACAGAAAATAGGGAGAATGGGAAATCATTACAGGTATGCAACAAATATGTTAGTGACATTTGTACTCCCACCTCCACTTTAGCCCAAACACGCAGAGCAACAAAGCTAATGGCAACATTCAGAGGATTTCAGTTGATTTGATAATCTAGCATCTTTTTTCATGTTTCAAAAAGAATAAAATCATTTTCTTAGAAGGCAGGTCTGTGATACATAAAAGGAGCATGTTGAACAATGACTGAACAGTAAAACAGGGAAGTGAGGAAACCATACATCCCTAATTCGTTTTGATCTCCAGTCCAAGAGTGTACCTCGGTAAGCTATATTATAAAGCCCTGTGTTGCATCCAAACACTTACTTGATGGTCGGACGAAAACTTTAAGCTTGAGGCATGTTTTCTTCCCGTTTGGAGCAACGGTGGAGGCTGAAAGAAATCACAACAGAGACAGGTAAACATGGCTGATATTGTTAGTGCAGCATGTACACTCAACGGCCTGTTACGCAGCAGTTTTGGACTTGAACTCCACAGTTAAAGATTCACTGAATAGAAAAGGTCTGGTAATTCATATCAGATCTAATACAGCAGTTAGCTCTGAAATAGTGTAATTCGAAAAACATAACGTTTTAAGATAGTTAATGTTGACTGGTACAGGGATTAAACAGGGTTAGTCATGGGTTTTTGTGGAATTATAGCTTGAAAGTATTTACAGATGTGCGGGAAACTCTACAGAAAAAAAAGCAGAGAGCTATTCTTACAGCTGAATTTCCCTATTTTGGAGAAGCATGTAGCAGCAGCAGCAGCAGCTCATGAAGGACCAGGATATTTACAAATCAGCATGTACAAAAACAGAAAAAAGCTTTGTAATTTATTGTTAAATACACAGAGCCTTGCAAAAACATTCAGAACCCTCAACAGTTAAACATTTTATGATTACAACAAATTCATTGTGTTTTACTGCAATTTCACGTGACAGCCCATAGCAAAGCAGCACACACTTGTGAACGAGGGAAAATCTTAAAAGTGTGAAAGTGTGTTCTGCACTCCTGCGACAATATTTTGTAGAACCACCTTTCAAAGCAATTACAGTTTCGTGTCTCTTTCTGTTAAACTCTGACTTAAACTTCTCCACAGCTTTCTCCATGACCGCTCTGTTGTGTCCTTTAGTCTTCATGAAGTTGTTTGTTTTCTAACAAATCTCAGAGGCCATCATGTAACAGATGGACTTAATATAAAAAGGGGACTTCTGAAGGCATCTGTTTATACTGGATTTGGTTTAGAGGCAGAAAAGTGAAAGAGGTTGAATACAGACGCATGCGACACAGATTTTATGAATCTGTAAATGTAACAGTTTCTTTAAACTTTGAAATTTTGCACCATTTTATGTTGGTTTGTCACATAGAATTCTGCTAATGACATAAAGGTTTGTGTTTCTACAATAAGAAAAAAAATGTGAAAAGTTCTATACTTTTGCAAGGCAATGTACAATGATGTGTTTCCCTCCATGAGAACCTCAACATGGTTTCACGCTACCCAGAGTAAGGAAGGATAAACTGTGTGTGGTGCATGTGTGGATGGTTTGTGGTTGATGTCAGGAAACAGAACCCTTCCTGCCAGGTCCATGGGGTGTGAATCTCCAGAACGGTAGTTACCATGGGGGCTGTGTCAAATCCACAAAAAAAAATATCTCAAGTGTTACAGATGTGGGAGTATGAGTGGTTGACCACTAATAGTGTTGTGGTGGGGCAGCAGGTGCTGTCTCCTGCAGACCAGGACAGGGGTCAAACATATGTCAGTGTAGAACATGGGGGACGACTGCAGCAGTGTACACCGTCTTGAAATTATAGGCTGCTGCGTTTGGGTTCAGGACCTCGTATCAAGCTGAGAAAAGTGTAGACTCCTTCAGCAGTTGTGATGAATTAATTTTATCTGTCAGCTCCAACTTCCAGCCTCTGCTGCTCCTCCTCCAGATTCACTATGGAACTCTTTACTTTGGTAGGTTTGGGGTTGTGTCATACTCTTTGCATTTACAGAATAATTCAACGTAAAAAAAAAATTTGGAGGGCTGTTAAAAGTTTAGCAAGGCGCTGTTCAAAGCAGACAACAGTTTTTCTTTATCATTATATGTCATTGCAGACATATTTATTACTACATACTTTAGTCATGCTTTGAAGTGGACACATAGAAGTGTCTCTTTCTATCTGACACCAAAATCCAGCCAGAACTGATGAAGTTCATTAGGTTTATCTGCCATGATTTTACAAAGCACTTCCTGTCATTTGATATATATATATATATATATATATATATATATATATATATATATATATATATATATATATATATATATATAAATTTTTTTGCAAACTCTGCATATCGAAACTATTTAGATTTTAAACTATGTTAAATCAGCATGCTGAAGGATAATTGCATCAGATTAAGGAGGCCTCAGAGCAGTTTGTCTTTTTAGCTGATCCAATTTAGCATCAGCAGGTGTTTATTCAATTTGCAAATTTTGTTAAAAGAATGCCAACACTAACAAATAATGCTTTTGCAATGGGCACTCACTATTTCAGAGAAAAATGCTGTACTTGTCAAATGATCTTTGACAACCAGAGTGTACTGAGAAACTGAGACTATACTGAGCCAGAAATTATCAACTTATGTCTGTGACACATGTCTAGTTGCTTTTGCATTTTACCAACAAAATGTTTGATATTTTCGATTATTTAACCCTTAGATTAGAGGCAAGACCTTCTGAAAAAATGTTTTCTGCAACCATTAAATGTTTGCAATGAGAAAATTATTGATTAGCAAATATGGAAAAGGTCAGAGTGTTCCTCAGTTTTAGCAAGACGAGATTGTGCATCCAACTACCTGTATTTCGTGAAATCTAACTCATGCAACTCAGCTCCCTCTCTGCCCCGTGTTGTCATTTATTTTTTTCACTTCATTAGTTGTTATCTTTCCCTTCCCTACAAGAGAAGTCACCTGACAACCGATGCTGTTTGTCATGCCTCTGTTTGTCTTCAAAAGATGCGAGAAGGGAGGCCAGGGGCGACAGAAGGGACAGAGGGAAAGTGATCCTTATTATTTCCTGTGGAGGCTGCTGATGACACGCTAATGAACCTTGGCGACCGTCGCTCACCCATTGAGTCACACACCCCGGCACCTACGCAATTTATGTCACTTTTCGTAGTGCTCCACTTCTTTACTCTTTTCTTTGCAGTGAGTGCCCATAAAGTGCCTAACAGACACCCTCACACACGCACACACACACACACACAGACCTCGTCTCCACATGTTGTATCTTCATCATCATTGTGGGCTGAGTTGAGTCACAGCCATCGACACCAGCCACTTAGCAAAGGCTGCTGATCATGAAAGAAGGATGGGTGTGATGACAATAGGCAGAGAGCATGTGGGAGTCCCTCCCCTAGCCAGCAAATTGCTGAAGCTGTTGTGATGTTTATAGATTTAGCTATGACACTCTAACTCCAACATAAGAGAAACGCACAGAGCTAAGTGAGCAGAGCAACTGCCCGTGTGTCTAGGATTTCACCCTAATCATAGATCTTTCTTACCTATGAAAAAGCATTCTTAGTTTTTGAAGCATTTTTTTTTTTTTTTTCAAAGATGCAAAAGAAATCTGCTGACGACTGAAGTCAGTCAATTTTTGGGACATAATAATTTGGAATTTGCATTTATTTGCTAAGGGACAGTGTGTATTAATCAACATGAGTAAACATTTGTATAAATATGCCAGCTTTTGGCTTTTTGAGGTGATATTGACAAATATATCAGTTTCAGTAAGTCTTTCTTTGACGACAGTACAGCGTTGTTTTTCAGCTACTGCTCCTATACACACAGTGAGATGTCGCCTCTGCTCCTAAATTTCATAGCAAATGAGTTAAAGCTCAAAGCACTAAAGCTTGCAGAATTACTTGGAATGCTGTTCCTATATTTTGTTTTATTTTACACTACAGATTATTGATTGGCATCAGTTTCAACACCTGCTGTTCACTCTACCTTGAGGCTCCACAAACTTTGAATTTCTGGCCATAGCATGGACGAGTGGTTCTTTTGAAGGACAAATGGCATGATAAGACGTCCCGAAATGAAAGTCGGATGGGTATGGGGGGGTGATCTGGCTACTCCTCCATGCCTTGTCCACTGATTAGTAGTGGCTGCTTCCTTCGGTCCACTGCATTATGCATTAGCATTAAGGCAAATGGAATGAAGCAGAATCCAATTACGGGAGAACAAACAGGTGGGCTCAGTGCAGCTTAGGCAGAGGATTGTTTCAATCACAGCCCAAGCCAAGCTTTATTGCAACTGAAATTTCATGCAGAAAACACATGCTAAAATCCTAGACACAAAACAAGGTCTGCGTGATAAGAATTAAAAATTGAAGTTGGGGCCTGCTACATTCAGAAATTGACGACCAGAGTATAACTTCTGTACTGTTTATGCATGATTTAAGAGACATGGCTCCAAAATTGTGCAAGCCATATATTCAGCAAGACAGGATCATCATTGACAGTCTGGTCAATTTTCAATATTACACACCCTGTTCAAATTCGTCACCTAGACTGATGTAACGGGTTGCAGATGACCATAAATCAATTGGAATGAAGATATCAGCATCGGTTCAGCCTTTGAAAAGCACAAGAGCTCTGATGTTTGCATCTAGAAATCATTTTTCTTGCACATACCCAGGCATTATTCAAGCAAAAAAAAAAAAAACATACATTCTTAAAGGATTTTAAGCCTGGAATAATGACTGAAAAAAGAAAAAAAAGAAGGGCATAATTTGGCAAAAATAATATCCACATTCATCTACAATTTTCTGCTTCATAATTATCAGGTTTGAAACAGGATTTTTTAATCTTTGATTCCAGAAGTGAGACCAAATAAAATGGATTTCTGACTTGCTATGTTGGATAAGTTTTGAATTGAACTTGTGCAACAGTAAGCTGAGCATTATATATCCACATTAGCACATTTCTCAAGATTAGGTGACATTTTTGCACAGCACAGTGTTATCATCTTACTGCCTGCATTTATTTGATATTCATATATAAAATAACACTAGATGATGTTTTTGATGCCAAACAGATTCTAAATTTAATACATTGTTAATAATATAGCACATACAGTAGGTAAGAATGCACCGTGGAAATTAAGTTATGCAGAAACTGCTAGCTCTCCCGGTGCATGTATAGATTCTCTGAAAAACTAAAGTAAACGAAAAAAAACCCTCAAAAAAAAAAACAAAAAAAAAACACTGAGCGCAACTTCCTTCTTCACGACATGCAAGAAAAAAAAATGAAGTGAAATAAGATTTCTCTTTTGACTTTGGTGAAAGATCGCAAGCGCTAGACGTACGCTTTTGTTTTAGTTGTATTTACCCAGAATTCCCTGCA